CGCGGGGTGGGGGTGTCACGGTCTGGGGCCGCGCGGGGGTGGGGGTGTCACGGTCTGGGGCTGCATGGTGGTGGGGGTGTCATGGTCTGGGGCTGCATGGTGGTGGGGGTGTCATGGTCTGGGGCTGCATGAGTGCTGCCAGCACTGGGGGGGCTACAGTTCATTGAGGGAACCATGAATGCCAACATGTACTGTGACATACTGAAGCAGAGCATGATCCCCTCCCTTCGGAGACTGAGATCGCAGGGCAATATTCCAACATAATGACCCCAAACACACCTCCAAGACCACCACTGCCTGGCTGAAGAAGCTGAGGGTTCAGATGATGGACTGGCCAAGCATGTCTCCAGACCTAAACCCTATTGAGCATATGTGGGGCCTCCTCTAACGGAAGGTGGAGGAGCGCAAGGTCTCCAACATCCACCAGCTTCATGATGATGTCATGGAGGAGTGGAAGATGACTCCAGTGGCAACCTGTGAAGCTCTGATGACCTCCAGGCCAAGAGGGTTCAGGCAGTGCTGGGAAATAATGGCGGCCACACAAAATATTGACACTTTGGGCCCAATGTGGACCTTGTCACTTAGGGGTGGAGTCACTTTTGTTGCCAGCGGTTTAGACATTAATGGCGGTGTGTTGAGTTATTTTTGAGGGGACAGCAAATTTCCATGTTATACAAACTGTACACTGACTACGTCACATTGTAACAGAGTGTCATTTCTTCAGTGTTGTCACATGAAAAGAGAGAATCAAATATTTACAAAAATGTGAGGTGGGGACTCATTTCTGGGAGATACTGTATAGCTGGAAACTACAGGCCAGTCAGACTAACATTAATAGTATGTAAACTATTGGAGGGGAAGAGAAGGGACTACAGCCAAGAATTTTCTGGTGGAAATAGTACCATTAGTAGTAACCAACATGGATTACAAAAGGCCGTTCTTACCAGACCAATCCACTAACATTCTGTGAGGAGGTGAGCTGCCATCTAGATATTGAAGGCCTGTGGATTTGGTGGATTTGGACTTTGCTAAGGGATTAGATCCAGTACCTAATAATGCTCTAGGTGCATCCAGAGGGCGTAAATAGCATGTACTCTGGTCTGGAGTGGTAAGAGGGGTACCCAGGGCTCTGTCCTAGGGACAATTCTGTTTAATTTACGGATATCGAGGTCGGTATAAATCGCTCCATCCCAGTGTCTGCGGACGATACAAAGCCAAGTAGGGCAATCATTTCCCAACACGGTATAGAAACTCAATAAAATAAAGGGGGGGGGGAGAAACATGGGCAAATGAGGTTCAACGTAGGAAAATGTAAAGTAATGCACTTGGGGGCTTAAAATATAAATGTGAGTTAGACTCTCGGGGGAGAACCTCTGGGGGAATGGAGGATGGAGGAGGATCTGGGGGTCCTAACAGACGACAGACTCAGCAATGCATGCAAATGCCAAGCTGCAACAAGCAAAGCCAGCAGAATATCAGCATTGAAAGAGGATTTACCCCGGAGATAGAGCTAGAATTCCTTGGGGGAGGAGACAGAGCTAGAATTCCTTGGGGGAGGAGACAGAGCTAGAATTCCTTGGGGGAGGAGAGGGCATGGGGAGGAGATAGAGCTAGAATTCCTTGGGGAGGAGGATGGGGAGGAGACAGAGCTAGAATTCCTTGGGGGAGGAGAGGGCATGGGGAGGAGACAGAGCTAGCATTCCTTGGGGGAGGAGAGGGCATGGGGAGGAGATAAAATTATAATTATTTGGGGGGAGGAGAGGAGAGGGCATAGGGAGGAGACAGAGCTAGAATTCCCTGGGGGAGGAGAGGGCATAGGAGGAGACAGAGCTAGAATTCCCTGGGGGAGGAGAGGGGGGCATGGGGAGGAGACAGAGCTAGAATTCCCTGGGGGAGGAGAGGGCATAGGGAGGAGACAGAGCTAGAATTCCCTGGGGGAGGAGAGGGAGGATAGGGAGGAGACAGAGCTAGAATTCCCTGGGGGGAGGAGAGGGCATAGGGAGGAGACAGAGCTAGAATTCCCTGGGGGGAGGAGAGGAAATGGGGAGGAGATAAAACTGTAATTCTTGGGGGGAGGAGAGGAGAGGGCATAGGGAGGAGACAGAGCTAGAATTCTTTGGGGGAGGACCTCAGTACTGGGGGTGGAGGAGCTCTGTTTTGGAGGGTAGAGGAGCACACTTTTGGAGGATGGAGGAGGTCACTTGGGGGGAGACTCAGTTTTGGTGGATGCAGGAGCTCAGTTTATAGGGGGGGGCGGAGGAGCTCAGTTATAGGGGGGGCGGAGGAGCTCAGTTATGGGGGGGGGGCGGGGGGAGCTCAGTTATGGGGGGGGGGGGGCGGAGGAGCTCAGTTATGGGGGGGGGGGGGGGGCGGAGGAGCTCAGTTATGGGGGGGGGGGGGGGGCGGAGGAGCTCAGTTATAATAGGGGGGGGGGAGCGGTTATAGGGGGGCGAGGAGGGGTTATAGGGGGGGCGGAGGAGATCAGTTATGGGAGGAGCTCAATTGTGGATGGACGGAGGAGATCAGTTATAAGGGGGAGGGACGGACCTCAGTTATGAGGGGGAGGGACGGACCTCAGTTATGAGGGGGAGGGACGGACCTCAGTTATGAGGGGGAGGGACGGACCTCAGTTATGAGGGGGAGGGACGGACCTCAGTTATGAGGGGGAGGGACGGACCTCAGTTATGAGGGGGAGGGACGGACCTCAGTTATGAGGGGGAGGGACGGACCTCAGTTATGAGGGGGAGGGACGGACCTCAGTTATGAGGGGGAGGGACGGACCTCAGTTATTGGGGAGAAGGAGGAGCTCAGTTATTGGGGGGATGGGAGGACCTCAGTTATGGGGGAATGTCAATCACAGCCAGTGAGTCAATAAGGAGAGAGAGGGGCTGAGCTGTGGCTCTGTGATTGGACACGCACAGCTGTGACACCTACTACGACTCCTAAGACTACGACAACTACAACTACGACAACTACGACTCCTAAGACTACGACAACTACAACTACGACAACTACGACTCCTAAGACTACGACAACTACAACTACGACAACTACGACTCCTAAGACTACGACAACTACGACTACTACGACACCTACGACTTCTAAGACTACGACGACTACGACACCTACGACTGCGACACCTACGACTGCGACACCTACGACTGCGACACCTACGACTGCGACACCTACGACTGCGACACCCTACGACTGCGACACACCTACGACTGCGACACCTACGACTACGACACCTACGACTACGACACCTACGACTGCGACACCTACGACTGCGACACCTAAAACTACGACACCTAAAACTACGACACCTAAAACTACGACACCTACGACACCTACGACTCCTAAGACTACGACGACTACTACGACACCTAAAACTACGACACCTAAAACTACGACACCTACGACTACGACACCTACGACTGCGACACCTAAAACTACGACACCTAAAACTACGACACCTAAAACTACGACACCTAAAACTACGACACCTACGACACCTACGACTCCTAAGACTACGACGACTACGACACCTAAAACTACGACACCTAAAACTACGACACCTACGACTACGACACCTACGACTACGACACCTACGACTACGACACCTACGACTACGACTCCTACGACACCTACGACTACGACACCTACGACTACGACTCCTACGACTACGACTACCTACGACTACGACTCCTACGACTACGACTCCTACGACTACGACTCCTACGACTACGACTCCTACGACTACGACTCCTACGACTACGACTCCTACGACTACGACTCCTACGACTCCTACGGCTACGACACCTACGGCTACGACACCTACGGCTACGACACCTACGGCTACGACACCTACGGCTACGACACCTACGACTACGACACCTACGACACCTACGACTACGACACCTACGACTACGACTACGACACCTACGGCTACGACTCCTACGACACCTACGACTACGACTCCTACGACACCTACGACTACGAGACCTACGACTACGACACCTACGACTACGACACCTACGACTACGACACCTACGACTACGACACCTACGACTACGACACCTACGACTACGACTCCTACGACTACGACTCCTACACTACGACTACGACACCTACGACTACGACACCTACTACGACACCTACGACTACGACACCTACGACACCTACGACACCTACGACTACGACTCCTACGACTACGACACCTACGACTACGACACCTACACTACGACACCTACGACACCTACGACTACGACTCCTACGACACCTACGACTACGACACCTACGACTACGACACACCCTACGACTACGACACCTACGACTACGACACCTACGACTACGACTCCTACGACTACGACTCCTACGACTACGACACCTACGACTACGACTCCTACGACTACGACTCCTACGACTCCTACGGCTACGACACCTACGGCTACGACACCTACGGCTACGACACCTACGGCTACGACACCTACGGCTACGACACCTACGGCTACTACGACTACGACACCTACGCTACGACACCTACGGCTACGACACCTACGGCTACGACACCTACGGCTACGACACCTACGGCTACGACACCTACGACACCTACAACTCCTACGACTACGACACCTACGACTACGACACCTACGACTACGACACCTACGACTACGACACCTACGACTACGACACCTACGACAACTACAACTACGATGACACCTACAACTATGACAACGACACCTACAGGTATGACAACTACTATGACACCTACGACTACCACACCTACGACTACCACACCTACGACTACCACACCTACGACTACCACACCTACAACTACCACACCTACAGGTATGACAACTACGACTACAAGGGGAAGGTTATAGGTGTGATAATACTCTCAGGGGGTCGGTTGTACAATTCTGCTCTCCTGATAATGGGGGTTTGGGAGGGGGGAGGAGTTATGTAAAGTCATCTACAGAAGTCGCTCCGTACTCACCGAACATCCATCATGGAGGACCCAGAATCACCACGAGGGGCGGAGTCATCCAGGGGGGAGGAAGAGGAGTGTGGGGTCACCCAGGAAGGGGGGGGGACAATGTCACCCAGGGGGGTGTAGTCAGTCGGGGTATGGAAGGGGTGTTGTTGGGGGGGGATATAGTCAGGCGGGGAGGGGTGTTGTCACACTGGGGGGGGTCATCGGAAGGGGGTGTTGTCACCCTGGGGGGGTCAGTGGGGGGAGAAGTGTTGTGACCCTGGGGGGTACAGTCAGTCGGGGTGGGGGGTGTTGTCACCCTGGTGGGTCAGTCGGGGTGGGGGGGGTGTTGTCACCCTGGTGGGGGTGGGGTCAGTCGGGGTGGGGGGGGAGTGTTGTCACCCTGGGGGGGGGGGGTTCAGTCGGGTAGGGGGGTGTTGTCACCCGGGGGGGTACAGTCAGGTGGGGTGTTGTCACCCTGGGGGGGGGTACAGTCAGGTGGGGTGGCGGGAGGTGTTGTCACCCTGGTGGGTCAGTCGGGGTGAGGGAGGAGTGTTGTCACCCTGGGGGGGGGGGTACAGTCAGTCGGGGTGGGGAGGTGTTGTCACCCTGGGGGGGGGGGGTACAGTCAGTCAGGGTGGGGGGGGTGTTGTCACCCTGGGGGGAGGGGTACAGTCAGGTCGGGGTGGGGGGGGTGTTGTCACCCTGGGGGTACAGTCAGGTGGAGTGTTGTCACCCTGGGGGGGAGGGGTACAGTCAGTCGGGGTGGGGGGGGGGGGTGTTGTCACCCTGGTGGGTCAGTCGGGGTGGGGAGGAGTGTTGTCACCCTGGTGGGGGAGGGGCGGTGTCCCCAGCACGGCGATGAGTTGCGGAGAAGATCCGGAAGAGACGGGAAAGTCCTGAAACGAAAGTAGAAGTAAATAAGGAGGGGGAAGGGAGGAGAGGGGGAGGGGAGAGGTGGATGGGGGAGGGGAATGACTTGCACTTCCTGGTACACTTTGCCGGTCTGACTCAGAGATCCCTCTGACGTCACAAGTCTCCATCATGTCAGTGTGGGGGAGGCGACATTACAGTGATCTCTGTACGGCGCGGCGGTCTATGTCGGCGATATGGCAATGCACAAGGATACTCACCGGAGTAGGCGGAGAAAATGATGACGTCACAGAAAGGGTTTTCTTTAAATGACCGCCCATCCCTGACTCCGCCCCGTACGCCCATCCCAGAAGGTGGAGTCTCGGGGATTAGGGGCGGGGAAAATGGCAGTCCACTAGTGGGCGGGGTTTCAGTGGCAATGAGACGCAATTCAGGTGGGCGGGATCAGCAGTCAGGCCTCTTCTGAGTAGATTCCGGTGAGTGTTCCCGGCGCTCCGCTCTCCTCCCGTCATCCCCCGGCCGGGTCACGTGAGGTGACGTCATCCATCGCCGGTAATACCGAGCGGTGTGCGCAGATACCTGCTTCCGACATCGTACGGTATGTTCACACTTCCCCCACCCCATATATATAGATCCCTGTATATCCCCCCATATATATATATATAGATCCCTGTATATCCCCCCATATATATATATATAGATCCCTGTATATCCCCCCATATATATATAGATCCCTGTATATCCCCCCATATATATATATAGATCCCCTCATGTATATCCCCCCATATATATATATATATATAGATCCCTGTATATCCCCCCCATATATATATATATATAGATCCCTGTATATCCCCCCATATATATATATATATAGATCCCTGTATATCCCCCCATATATATATATATATAGATCCCTGTATATCCCCCCATCCATATATATATATATAGATCCCTGTATATCCCCCCCATATAAATATATATATATATAGATCCCTGTATATCCCCCCATATATATATATATAGATCCCTGTATATCCCCTCCATATATATATATAGATCCCTGTATATCCCCCCATATATATATAGATCCCTGTATATCCCCCCATATATATATATATAGATCCCTGTATATCCCCCCATATATATATATATAGATCCCTGTATATCCCCCCATATATATATATATATAGATCCTGTATATCCCCCCATATATATATATATATATAGATCCCTGTATATCCCCCCATATATATATATATATATATATATATATAGATCCCCTGTATATCCCCCCATATATATATATATATATAGATCCCTGTATATCCCCCCATATATATATATATATATATAGATCCCTGTATATCCCCCCATATATATATATATATAGATCCCTGTATATCCCCCCATATATATATATATATATATCCCTGTATATCCCCCCATATATATATATATATAGATCCCTGTATATCCCCCCCATATATATATATATAGATCCCTGTATATCCCCTCATATATATATATATATATAGATCCCTGTATATCCCCCCATATATATATATATATATATATATATATATAGATCCCTGTATATCCCCCCATATATATATATATATAGATCCCTGTATATCCCCCCATATATATATATATATATATAGATCCCTGTATATCCCCCCATATATATATATATATATATTAGATCCCTGTATATCCCCCCCATATATATATATAGATCCCTGTATATCCCCCCCATATATATATATATAGATCCCTGTATATCCCCCCATATATATATATATATAGATCCCTGTATATCCCCCCCATATATATATATATATAGATCCCTGTATATCCCCCCATATATATATATATATAGATCCCTGTATATCCCCTCCATATATATATATATATATATATCCCTGTATATCCCCCCCATATATATATATATATAGATCCCTGTATATCCCCCCCATATATATATATATATAGATCCCTGTATATCCCCCCCATATATATATATATATAGATCCCTGTATATCCCCCCCATATATATATATATATAGATCCCTGTATATCCCCCCCATATATATATATATATATATCCCTGTATATCCCCCCCATATATATATATATATAGATCCCTGTATATCCCCCCATATATATATATATATATATAGATCCCTGTATACCCCCCCATATATATATATATAGATCCCTGTATATCCCCCCCATATATATATATATATAGATCCCTGTATATCCCCTCCATATATATATATAGATCCCTGTATACCCCCTCCATAGATATAGTATATATATATAAGGAATCGGAGGGATCGGCTCGTGGTGTTTACAATCTAAAGGGGGGGGGGGGGGTACAAAAGGTGATGGCTGTGGGGGTTATCTGGTGGAGGGGGCTCTAGTAACGGTTCTTAGGTGGAGGGGGCTCTAGTACAGTTCTTAGGTGGAGGGGGCTCTGGTGCAGTTCTTAGGTGGAGGGGGCTCTGGTGCAGTTCTTAGGTGGAGGGGGCTCTAGTACATTCTTAGGTGGAGGGGGCTCTAGTACGGTTCTAGGTGGAGGGGGCTCTAGTACGGTTCTTAGGTGGAGGGGGCTCTAGTATACGGTTCTTAGGTGGAGGGGGCTCTAGTACGGTTCTTAGGTGGAGGGGGCTCTGGTGCAGTTCTTAGGTTCTCTGGTGCAGTTCTTAGGTGGAGGGGGCTCTAGTACCGTTTCTTAGGTGGAGGGGGCTCTAGTACCGTTCTTAGGTGGAGGGGGCTCTAGTACGGTTCTTAGGTGGAGGGGGCTGTAGTACAGTTCTTAGTTGGAGGGGGCTCTAGTACGGTTCTTAGGTGGAGGGGGGGCTCTAGTACGGTTCTTAGGTGGAGGGGGCTCTAGTACGGTTCTTAGGTGGAGGGGGGCTCTAGTGCACGTTTCTTAGGTGGAGGGGGCTCTAGTACGGTTCTTAGGTGGAGGGGGCTCTAGTACGGTTCTTAGGTGGGGGGGCTCTAGTACAGTTCTTAGGTGGAGGGGGCTCTAGTACGGTTCTTAGGTGGAGGGGGCTCTAGTACGGTTCTTAGGTGGAGGGGGCTCTAGTACGGTTCTTAGGTGGAGGGGGCTCTAGTACGGTTCTTAGGTGGAGGGGGCTCTAGTACGTTCTTAGGTGGAGGGGGCTCTAGTACGGTTCTTAGGTGGAGGGGGCTCTAGTACGGTTCTTAGGTGGAGGGGGCTCTAGTACGGTTCTTAGGTGGAGGGGGCTCTAGTACGGTTCTTAGGTGGAGGGGGCTCTAGTACGGTTCTTAGGTGGAGGGGGCTCTAGTACGGTTCTTAGGTGGAGGGGGCTCTAGTACGGTTCTTAGGTGGAGGGGGCTCTAGTACGGTTCTTAGGTGGAGGGGGCTCTAGTACGGTTCTTAGGTGGAGGGGGCTCTAGTACGGTTCTTAGGTGGAGGGGGCTCTAGTACGGTTCTTAGGTGGAGGGGTCTCTAGTACAGTTCTTAGGTGGAGGGGGCTCTAGTACGGTTCTTAGGTGTAGGGGCTCTAGTACGGTTCTTAGGTGGAGGGGGCTCTAGTACGGTTCTTAGGTGGAGGGGGCTCTAGTACGGTTCTTAGGTGGAGGGGCTCTAGTACGGTTCTTAGGTGGAGGGGGCAAAGGCTTCCCTGAGTTTTCAAAGATCGCCTAAAGGCAGACAGGGTTGGGCTGACCGGACATACTGGTGTAGGGAGTTCAGGAGGATGGGAGAGGCTCTGTAGAAGTCCTGGAGGCGAGGAGTGGGAGGAGGAGAACAAGATGTGTTGGGAGGAGCAGAGCGGGCGATTGGGACGATATCTGTGGATGAGGTCGGTGGTGTATCTGGGGGCGATGTTGTGCTTAGTTTAGTATTTTGACTTTATTTTGGGCTAGTGGAAGCCAATGAAGGGAGGACACTGCAGGCCAGTGATGGGATTGGCAGAGGGGGGTGGAGGACACTGAGTGGAGGCCAGTGATGGGATTGGCAGAGGGGGGTGGAGGACACTGAGTGGAGGCCAGTGATGGGATTGGCAGAGAGGGGGTGGAGGACACTGAATGGAGGCCAGTGATGGGATTGGCAGAGGGGGGTGGAGGACACTGAATGGGGTGAAGGGATTGGCAGAGGGGGGTGGAGGACACTGAATGGAGGCCAGTGATGGGATTGGCAGAGGGGGGTGGAGGACACTGACTGAATGGAGGCCAGTGAAGGGATTGGCAGAGGGGGGTGGAGGACACTGAATGGAGGCCAGTGATGGGATTGGCAGAGGGGGGTGGAGGACACTGAATGGAGGCCAGTGGAGGGATTGGCAGAGGGGGGGTGGAGGACACTGAGGAGGCCAGTGAAGGGATTGGCAGAGAGAGGCAGCAGTCGCTGATTGGTCAGTAAGGTGTATGAGTCTAGCAGCAGCATTCATAATAGACTGAAGGGGGTGTGGCCTGTGTAACGGGAGACCAGTGAGGAGGGAGTTGCAGTAATG